TTAGTACGTGGAGCAATCTGTAGAGCTGGAAGCTGAGAACTGGCGACATTGTAGTACAACTTTAGCACGCGAGTATCTGGCAAGCTGGGCGATGAGAACTGGCGACTTTGTAGTACAACTTCAGCACGCGGAGCAATCTGTGCAGCTAGAAGCTGAGGACTGGCGACTTCGTAGTACAACTAGAGTTGTACTGGCGAACAGTGTAGTACGCGGAGGAGTCATCTCTCGCTGCTCATTCATCTCTCGCTGCTGAGTCAGCTCTCGCTATAGCCATCTCTCGCGGCTGAGTCATCTCTCGCGACTGAGTCATCTCTCGCTGCTGAGTCATCTCTCGCGGCGTGCACGTTCAGTTCATACTGATAGTATTTGGTTGCAGTTATGCAGGACAGGACATTCAACTGCTGGTCAAGACACCACTCATCATACACCAGTCAGCATACACCACTCATCATACACCACTCGTCATACACCACTCATCATACACCACTCAACATACACCACTCATCATTCATCACTTGTCATACACCCCTCATCATACAAGACTCATCATACATAGTCTCAGAGTTCAAGACAGATTTTACATTCAAATTCGGATTCCATTCAGTCCGATGTGGACCGCATCCTTGGCAAGTCGTGGTGGCCGGATGTGTGTCATCTCTCGCAGGGGGCACACACACCTTACACACGTGGAATCCCGTGGGTCAAAAGTCCGGAGCGCGTGCGTTTGACTGGAGGACGCGCATGTTGGAGAGAACGTGGACACTCCTATAGGTCAATTTCTTCTTATAGGAAACTTCCGCCGCCGGCTTGCCCGGGAACTTCTTGTAGCGATGGCCTCTACCCTAGCAGCGATGGCCTCCACCCTAGTAGCGATGGCCTCCAAAGTGCCAAACTCTTTTCATCTCTTTTCATCTCTCTTGTTGCACCCCGTAGGATGAGAAAGCCCGCCAGCTCACCTGGGGCCGGAGGAGTCGCTTGGAGCGGTCAAAACGTGGTCGAAAGCGGTGTGAGTCACGACGGGTGCCCACCCACTGGTGAGCCTTTGGGCACACGGAAGACTTCTGGGCAATTTTTGGGTGAAATTTCAAAAGGATTGTTTGCTTGATTCGGGTTTTTGAGAATGTTTTAGATTGATGTGGGTTCTGAAAGATTGGACTAGTGTGAGTTTCGAACACTGAGGTAGCATTGTCTCTGGTTTGCTGGCAGCTGTCAGCTATTTGCATCATCACAATCCAGAAGGGCCGTGCTATCATCGTGACATCAAGCCTGGAAACATCATGTTGACTGCCTCCTTATCCCCAAAGTTGGGGGACTGTGGTTTGTCACGCTTTTTGCCTCGAGATCGACCAGGGCAAAGCAGGATGACGATGCAACTCACTCAAGGAGCTGGCCCTGCAGGGACGCCAGGCTTCATGTGTAAAAGGCCAGAGATGGGTGAAAAGGCTCCCACTGACAGAACAGAACTCTCGAACTTTTCAAGCATATACATATTACACATGTTTTCAGAGGCGGTTCTGAGTGAACATCCCACAGATTCCCATGGAGTTTACTGGGGCAACTAGCGCCATTCGATCGGTGCCTGACCCGGACCCGTCATCGCTGGCAGGTATGTGGAGACGGGCAAATTCAACGACAAGTCCGAGGTCTATTCGATCGGTATCACAATCCTGCAAATCATCGCTGCCCAGCTGGATTTCGACGATGATTTTTCGGACCTCATTGAGGAGCTTCGGAGGGCTGCCAATGCCTGGGCGTGTTCAAGGGCTTAAGGGACCCCACAAGATTCGAACCCAATTTGCTTCTGGTTCCGGTCGTGTGTTGGAACGCGCATGGGAACGCGCACACTTTCTTCTACTGAACTGTGGCCAGCAGTGTTTCAGACCCGCAACATTGTCATTGTATTCACAACATTGTCATCGCCACAACGTTGTCATCGAAAAGTCCTGTTCACGATTGAATTGGGGTGGGGGTGGGCAGCGTTTTATGCGATGCGTGGAAGATGTTCATCGTTGTCACAAGATTGTCGTCTTTCTCGCGCCATGGTCATTCGAGTCTCCAGACTCTAAACCACATAAGGCACATTGGGTATCAACGCAGAAAACGACCTTCGCCTGAAGGAGTCGACCTTTTTCTCGAACACAACGTGCCCCAAAATGGGATCCGAGCGAGTCTGGTCCTGGGAGTCCGTTCTTTTGTGAGAAACGTTCTGATTGGGACGAAATCGGACGCAGATCAAACACTTCATAACGACGGGCGGGGGTTCGACATGGCCCCCCTGAGCATGAAAGTTCTGTTTTAGCCGTTTGTCATTAAAATGTGGAACGAGTTCGCGCAGGTAATGAGAAATATCAGCCAAGCAGAGAGACAAAAAAACGTCGATTCCATTGCAAGGGCAGGTGGTTACACCCCTGTCTTGGAAGGAAGCAGATGCTGAGGAAATTGCCCGGCGCCCTGATCCTCGCGTGCCGGCTAATGGGCCTGATTTGGAGACCTTGAAGAAGCTCTCAGCCATGGCAGCTGCTAGTGTACAGCGCTTCTCCAAGAGGATCCAGGCCAGGACAAAAACACAGCTGCCGGGTATTTCCTCAGTGTTTGGTCTGAAAATGATGGATCGTTTGAGGCTCACGTCCTCCAAATCTGGAGCTTCATGTTAACCCTTTCCTTTTGTACATCGATCCGTCCAGTTGTCTTCGTACCATTTCATTCCTCTCAGGTCATGCCTTTGCTCCGGCAAGCGCGCGAGGCGGCCTCCACGCTCTCCACTTCGGAAGTTCCGGCGCTGAAGTCCGAGGCCGGGGCGGCGTCGACCGTTCCGCGCGGGAGCGCCACGCGCAACGCGCAACGGCGCGGGCGCCCGAAGGAGTTCGGACCGTTCGGCCGTCTTGGAGGTCGAACGGATGGCGGCCGAGCTGCGGCGCTTGAGGCTGGCAGAGGAGAAAGCCGCAGAGCTGGCGGCGGCGCTGACGAAGAGATGTGAACTTTGCTTTGATGAAGTCTCTGTAGAGCAAGTTGGCAGTTTAATGTGTCCAAACGAGCAGCTTGGGATTGCTGAGTGGATGGTTTTGGTTCTTCTGTATAATATATATATATATATAATATATTTAAACTTTAAACATATGCGGTGCAAGCCAACACAAGCTTTGATTTGGATCATTTATTGAGTATTTTGTCTTGTGGATGTTGAGGCGAAGTAAAACCAAGAAAGCCATGGATCTGGCTAGATCCCCAAACCCTTTTGTCCTTGTCGTGTTTCCTGATGGGGATCGTTTTCAGGGCTTGGGTCACTTTGGGCTTTCTTTTTTCTTGCTCCGGGTTTATGCATGGTCCCCATCATCGAACCCAGGCATTTGATTTGCTCAGATTGTAGCCCAGACATGGTTCGTAATTTTCTGGAGCGGATCGGCGCCAGCGACACAATGTTGGACGATCACAGCAGCCGGGGCGGCTTGATTCCGTGCGTGCGACACAACCCAGCCTTCCAACCACAGTGCCTCATCGAACAAACATCAACCATCTGGTGGACAAGAGATTTTCCTCCCAGTCGACTATTTAGTTATTTGGTTCTAGAACCTTTTCTAACGCTTGCAGTAGTGCGAGGTGATCCATTTGCAGCCCTACATTGATTGAGGTGCAGCAGACACTACACCGACCAGTCCCTGGCCAGAGCTCTGCCCGACGAGATCTTCGTTGGATACAGAGCAGCACAGGATGATGTCACCGAAAACAGGATTTGGCACCAACACAACCAGAGGTTTCAAGAAGAGGCGACGAGCCAAAACGAGACTGACCTTGTTCAGAAGTTGAGATAGGATGGCAGGTGAGCAACCCATGGCCTCAATTGCTACTTGTACCCTCCCAAACTCTATCATGGAATTTGACAGACCATTTTTCATCCTCTTCTTAGCAGTTTCCATGTTAAGGACAGGGTCTTTGGCTCCTGCAAGTGGCCTGATCGGCCGCTTCTCGCCTTGGTCAGGTCTCACGGATGCAGCGGCAATTGGAGGGCGAGCAGGCGACGAAACGGGAGGAAGCGGCTTCAACTGAATTCTTGAGGCGTCAGTACCCCAATGCCAAGATGTGTCCTCTTGGATGGCAAAGCATCAGGCAGTTTCTATCACTTTCTGGTTCTTTTTCTTTTGGCTCTTCTCTTCCCTGCGAAGAATGGTTCCTCCAATCTGCATCAGGATAGAAAAACTAGAAAAACAGGTGGTTTTTGGACAACAGGGGTCAACCACGGCCCCCGTCCTCCTAGTCGCCAAACAAGGACATCATTTTTTCAGACAAAACGTACCAGGCTCAAAAACCAAAGGTTTTGGTTGAGGGGGGAAGTTGTCTCAAACATGTTTATTGTTTACTGTTGTCTTTTGGTATTGCCATTCCCTGCCCCAAGAACAGAGGTTTTGGAGACAGGGCGCAAGAGAATGGTTTGACCGAACAGTTTCTCCTGCTACCAACAAACATTGAAGACCTAGGATTTGGAGACATTCTTGACGGTTTTGGGCTGAAATAACACAGGCTTCCCTGACACCCAAAACTCACACCCTGACATCCTGACACCCTCCTGACACCGCGCCCTAGGTCCGCGCTGTCGTTGTGGACCTGTGATCAATGAGAATTGCTTCGACCTTCAAAGCCATCACAACGAAGCGTCCGGCCGCAGCCGAATCAACAATTCCTGCCAGCAATGCGGCTTCTTCACCCGCGACTGGAATCAATGGCTGCCCTGGGATGGCGTGTTGCGCCGTGGATACGTGGATAGAGGATGAGAGCTCAGACTGGCAAAGCTAATTTGAGATGGACCAGTTGAGGAACTTGCCAAGTGCTCGGACTGTGCGAAGGCAGAAAACATGGGGGCGTCCTCGAGACAGAGCCTTGCGGCCTTGCCGGAATGATTGCAGTTGATGGAGTTGCTGATTTTCTTGAGTTGCATCTTCATGCTTTTTGTCGAATTGCAACAGAAGAGCAAAGTGTCGGGTCATTTTGAGCACCCTCGGCAGACCCCGGCTGAAAGGGGTTCACTGGAGTTTGCGAAGAGGTTCTCAAAGTTTCGATGGTGTTTTCATGGTTCGTTCGTGGGCTGGAATAGATTTGCAAAAAAAAGCAGGCTGTCCGTCCTTGAGCTTTTCAGTGATCCCAGAGAGTCGCGTGACTTGTCTTTTTGCGTTGGCACTGGCACTTTTCTTTCATCTCGGTCGAACGCTGGGTCTCGCTCGGTCTGCTTGCTTGGAAAAAGCAATCAAAACGGTGCTTTCTAGCAAACCGAGACCGACAACCAGTGAGATGGCAGGACCTCCAGGGGTCCCGATTGATAAGGGGCCTCGCTGTTTTCTGACATCATTGTTTTTGGTCTGCAAATGTTCCTTCTCTTAGGGACTCTAGCAGTGTAAGTACTTGGTAGAACGGGTTCCGATCCGGACAAATCCGCTTCGCTTTTGCCCTCCTCTTGTCTAGAAATCTCTAAGAGTTGCAGAGTTCCCTCAAACTCAGCAAAAGCGAGCAGCTGCGGCGCGACTACAAAGCCAGTCTTCTTCGCTCCAATGGGGTCTGGCAGCTCCTCTTTGGCCTCCAAAGTGAAGGACGCCAGCGTCACAGAGCTCCAAGGGGTGGTCACGAATCTGCCGCCCGAAGACCGGGACAAAGTGAAGGTGCCTGTCAGTGAACGGGATTTTCTGGATGATCAGGTGTTTTTGAGTGTTTTTGGATCTCTGAAACCCCTATGATTTTCGAAGAAGCATGTGACACCTGCAGTATTTACCTGCCAGAGTACTTGTGACGAAACATCTCTGTTGCAGGCGGCTTTGGACTTGGTGCCCCGTCCTCCAAAGAACTGCCGGCGCAGGGTCAAGTGCGGGGGCAAGACCTTTGCGCCCTTTGGTTTGAGGGATGACTTTCAACCTCCAGATCCTGCCAAGACGAAGGATTTTACTCCCTACCAGCCAGAGGATGGTTTGCCAGAAAAGGTGGACCTTCGCAATTTTATGAGCCCAATAGAAGATCAATCTCAAACCAACAGTTGCTGCGCGAATGCTGTGGCAGGGGCCTTCGAGTACATCAACTGCAAGCATGCTGGGGAAACTGGGGATACCCGTGGGGATGTCTCCCGGCTCTTCATTTACTATGTTGGCCGGAAGAAGGACATGGCCGACGAGGGCGCGATGTGGGGAAAGAAGAATTCCAAGAGGGCGCCCAAAGACGAAGGGATGACGATCCAAGCTGCCATCAGCGCTATGCAGGTGAGTGGTGCTTGTTTGGCGGAATCATGGCCATATGATCTCGACAAGGTGAATGAAAAACCGGGTGAGGAGTGCTTCAAAGAGGCCCAGAGGTACAGAGTCCTGGCGGCGGAAAGAGTGCCCATGGACCTTGATGCGATGCGTCAGTGTCTGGCCCGAGGGAACCCGATCATCTTTGGGCTCATGCTCACGGACAGCTTCTTTCGCCCTGGACGAGGCGGCTTCGTCTCAACACCCAACAAGACCGACAAAAGAGCCGCCCAGCATGGCTTGCATGCAATGCTGCTTGTGGGCTACAATGACCGTCAGCAGGTCTTCATCGTCCGCAACAGCTGGGGTGAATCGTGGGGAGACCGTGGCTACGGCTACGTTGGCTATGACTACATCGCGAACATGGACTACAATTTCCTCCAGCAGTTCACCATCACTGGCTTGACCAACGCAGACTTCACCCCGGGCCCCGATGACGGCGAGGACTTCGACATCACCGACAATACAGATGACGTGGTCATTGAAGAAGAAGAGGAACCCGAGGAGCTGGAAGAACAATATGGAACCCACGAACCCGAATGCAAACACGTACTCCAAAACCAACGCCCAAACATTTTTGACACTCTTTCAGGAGACACTCTTGTAGAACACTCTTGTGGGACACTCTCGCGCAGCACCTTCGTCACTCTGTGGGACACTCTTGTGGGACACTCACGCACGACGCTCACGTACTCAGATGTAATTTGGCCACATAAGTTGACGGTTCTGAGGGCACAGCTCCCAGAAGCTGCTTCCCGTACTACATTTGCACTACAAAGCTGCCGGTTCTACAGCTCGCAGGACCTGCAGGCCGCACTACATTTGTACTACCAAGTGGCCACAGCTCCCAGAAGCTGCTTTGTGCATTACATTTGCACTACCAAGTGGCCAGTTCTGAGGCCACAGCTAAAATTGCCAGTTCTGGGGCGCAAGGGATTCCCGTGCTATATTTGTACGACCAAGTGGCCCGCCCTGGTCCTGAACATTACATATGTGCTACAAGTTGCCACTTCTGAGAAACACTCTTGTAAAACACGCTTGTGGTGCACTCTTGCGGGACACTCTTGTATGACACTCTTGTGAGACACCCTTGTAGGACACTCTTGTGGGACACTCTTGTAGGGCACTCTTGTCGGCCACTCTTGTGGACATCTCTTGCGGGACACTCTTGTGGGACACTCTTGCGGAACAGTCTTGTAGGACACTCTTGTGGGACACTCTTGTAGGACGCTCTTGTGGGACACTCTTCTAGGACACTCTTGTGGAACACTCTCGCACTCTTGTCAGGCACCTTGTCGGACGCTCTTGTGTGACACTCTTGTATGTCACTCTTGTGGGACACTCAGACACTCTTGTATGACACTCCCTCTTGCGGGACACTCTTGCGGAACACTCTTGGGGGACGAACACTCTTGTAGGAAACTCTTGTGGGACAGTGTTATGGGACACTCTTGTTCGACACTCTTGTATGTCACTCTTGTCGGGCAGTCTTGTGGGACACTCTTGTCGGACACTCTTGTGCGACACAAGAGTGGGACACTCTTCTAGGACACTCTTGCGAGACACTCTTGTAAGACCCCCTACACTCTTGTGGGACACCCTTGTAGGACTCTCTTGTAGGACACTGGCGTCGGACACTCTTGTGGACACTCTTGTGGGAAACTCTTGTCAGACACTCTTGTATGTCGCTCTTGTAGGACACTCTTGTGGGACACTCT